AAAAAATTATAACTATTAATTAGATTTTACAAATTTTTCATTAGAGACAACTAAAAATTTTATTTTTTGATATATCTATATTTTACACCAGATCATATTTAATTATATATTTTTATAAATTATATAAAGTACTAACTTTTATTATATTACCTTTAGTATATATTAAATAATTATTAAGATTATATTATGTATATTCTTTAATATTATATTTTATATATTATGTATATTTTATATATTATTAAAATTAGAATTAGAAATTAAGAAATAAAATTATATATAGTTATATTTCTTTAAATATATTCTTTTTATTATATAACTTCTCTTTAAATATATAATATATTTTGATTTAGTTTATAAGAGCTCTATATATTTTGATTTCTATAAATGTACATCCTCTTTAAATATATACTTTTTATTTTTTTACTATAAAATATGAAATAATATTAATATTAACCAATAAAATTACAAGATATAGAACACGTGACTTTTTTAAAAAAAGAGCTCTATTTTGTTTTAATCCACCACAATATACAGTAGCTTATGACCATATTTAGGAAATAGTTATACATTTCCTCTTTTATGGAGAAACGCTAAAGTAGAGTAGTGGATTATATATTAATTCGAATTATATAAATCCAGATCATATCAATCTAAATTTACCTATAAAGTTATATAACCATACATAATATATTTCATCATTATTGCAAGAAAATTTTTTTTGTTTTTTGTTTTTTGTTTTTTTGAATGGTTGGTAAGGGAATAAAAATAATAAGGATAAGGATGAATAGGAGATAAGATGTTAGTTAAGGAATAATTATGTTGATAATATAAGCTTAAAAATATATTCACATAAGAAATGCAAAAAAAAAAATCAAATATATTCGCATAAGAAACACAAATCTTATATTTCGAGCTGTGTTTAAGCCATAAGAAATACTATAAAAATAATTTACATACGCACATACACATATACAGATACATACATGCATACACGTATATACAAATCACACACATACACAAACTATATAGTATATCATACAGCACATTACATACATATCACACATATATATATGCATATATACATATATATATGTATATATACGCATATATATACATATACACCTACATATCTTTACATCTTAAATAAGACTTCTAATGTAAGAAATTATTAATCAAAAATGCATGAGTCTTTTTAATATTAATAACTCCTTCGAAGTATCTGAAAAGAAGTTTTATAAAGAATTATGGCCACTTATATCCAATATCTGGATGCGATATAATAGCTGGTGATCTCTTAATAATGATTTTTGGATCATTTACACCTGTTATCTCTTAAAGTATTATGAATCCAGTATGCAGAAAGCAGGAATCCCAGTTGAAAAGAGGAGAAAGACAAGTAAACATGATCTTAACCAGTGTGATGCCAAAATTAAAGTAATGCATATCATCACAATACAAATAGTATGAATCAAATGCTATAAAAATACTCTGGATTATACACATCAAATCAAAAATATTGATTAAATAAAGTAGCCAGAAGTAATCAGACAGCTGGTGACTAATGAAGTAAACAAATCATATAAATCACCAGCTATTATTACCATAATTAAGGAACTTGCAATGAATAAGGGGCTTGATACTATCATCCAAAAATTACGTCAAACTGAAGTGATAAATATTCAACAAAATATATACAAATCACTAACTAAACATCTTATAGGTGAAAAAGATCTTGAACCTGATATTCAGTATATTTTGAAATTCCTAACTAACAAAAATTATTGAGTTAAGCACTTCAAGATCATATAGCAATTGCAAAAAGTATTGCAAGATCTCTGCTTTGCAAATCATAATCAATTAAAAAAATTACAATATCATGGATGGCTAACTTTTATAGACTTAACATATAATATCAACAAGCACTTGTGGTATCTTTTTACCTTATATATTCAAGATGGTTTCAGTTGTTAGGATGTGGATACACATTTTCTTGTTAGTAAGAAAGATAATGATACAATAACTAAGGCGTTAAAGATGATTCATCAATTTGAATCTTGTTGGCTTTCTCATTATATGTTATGTGATCAAAGCAATATAGAAATGAATAGTATCACAAATGTCTTTCCTGATATTACACATGGTGAACAAAATTATAACATTATTCTTTGTACTATACATATTATGTGAATATGACTATATAAAATTTATCATCCAGTGACACGCAACCAAATGATCTTAGCTATGCATAAAAAGATAAGTATTAGTTGTGAAGAGATTATTAAGAATACCATTATCATCTGTTCTATTCCTGAAATTGTTCATTATATTAATCATAATTATACTAATAATATGGAAAAATGAATACTTTGGACATGTTAGCACTCTTTTCTTTTATTGCAAATCACCTTAACAAATCTACTAGAATCTTATCATAGTAAACTCAAGAGAATAATGATAAAGGAATATGGATTAATAGGTGAGACGCAATTTATTATGTGATAATTCTCTTTAAATTTTCTGAACTTACTAGATCACATGATAAATTATATTTTTATTATTAACAATCTGTTCTTTATTATATAATTTAGGAGTATGTTTTAAAATTATTGAACTCGATGACAAGAAATGGGTCAATTTGGAAAAAACAGCTCTTAACTTTCATCAAAAACATATCTTTGTAATTAATCTCGATAATGAGATACTTAAACAGATACATAAGTTTCCCTATCCCATCTAAAAGTTAATTATAAGTGAAGCTGTAACTATAAATGCAAAAATAATGAAGGAAAAGTCATCACCAGATCTACAAACACCTCAGTGTAATTGTATATTTTTTCATCATTATTTACTTTCATGTCAATATATCCTTCATCAACATATTTTTAGTTCTAATAAGCTATTAACGGTTGAGGTTTGGAATAAATTTCAATGGATATTTGAAGAGGTTGGTTTTGAAGTATATGAACATCATGAAATAATTGAGCTACCTGAGCCAATTCAAACTCAAGTGGAAAAAGAAGCAGAGATATGAAGACTTCAAATTGGTGAACTTATGGAAAGGGTATGGGACAAATATTGGGAAATTGAAAATAAAGGTGATATAGAAGCAACTAAGACATTTATTACATGTTTAGATAAATCGTTGGCTTCAGTTTTTAATAATAAAAAATATTAAATTTAAACAATTACATATATATAATTGTTATTATACATTTGTTATAATTGTTTCCGTATTTCTTAATCATTGTTAATTTTTTGTATTCGCTAATTGTCTTCACTATTATTATCCGATAATATGTTTAGCCAATAATTACCTTTCACATGATACGAATGAATCACATGATACGATCCGGATCGAATTATATGTCACGTGAGACTACCCGGCTTTAGTGGACCCCCTTTTATGGTCGTACCTAGGGGATAGTCAATTAACGGGAATACATTTAACATTAATATTATTTAGAATTATATATTTAATACAAATAACAAATCAAACTCAGATATCAAACTCTTAAATATTTGTAAATCTTAATATGAAAGATAATAATAGAAATAACTAACTTTTTATATTATTCTTTAGAAAAAAAATATTATTATCGATTTGGCTAAATATATATTAAAATTGGAGTATATTTCGAATTGTCTAAATAAAATTTAAGTTAGATTTAATGAATCAAGACAGATCATTAGAATTAAAATTATTTACTATGACTAGTATTACTATTATTAACATTAACATTATATCCTATGTATATATACGTATTTATATCTAAATTTAGAGAATGTTATCCCTTTCGTTAATTAAATACCAATCCTGCAAATAAAATATCTATAATTTTCCTTGTATCTTATAATTTTCTTCGAAACTAATTTGAACCCACATCACCGTTCGTTCATCATCATATTCCCATCAAAACCACAATATGCAGGAAATTATCGGGGTAACAGAGATTCTGTGACGCCCATACAATAGGCATTTCTAGTTGTGGAATCACACCATGAATCACCGGCGCGGCAGTGGAATTGTTCTCACTTGCTACCGGTGATGGAAAAAGATCGGGAAGTATTTGGTGTAGAACGTCACCCAGGGTAAGTTGATTTCCTATAATAAATCATGGCGACGTTATTAATAAGAATCTCAATATAACTTCTAGAACTCTCTGTTAGTGCTCAGTTCTCTTTCTCACGTAACAAAAATTGGGATGACAAGATACCGTTTTCATCCACCGGAGTGACCGGCTCCTGTATTACCGGACAATTTTCCGGTAAATAAATTCGTAATGGTATATGTCGTGGCATTTGTCCATCGTTAATGACTAATCGATAATTTACACTCCAGAATCGATCATAGTTTTCCGTACGGTATATTTGGTTGCAGTTAATTAGGATTGTTAAGGCATTTTTTATGTAATGTGTATTCAAAACTTGTAAACAGAACAACGAATACTATCGGAAACATATATGAAGTGAGAAAAATCATAGTAAAGGATACTAGACCATAACCCATCCCATAATTGTGTTTGATCATTCTTTGATAAATTCATCACTTTTTTTGTGCTTCCGTTCCTTAAAAAATCCGCCTGAAGAAAAAAATAAACATAATTATTAATGTATTATTACGATGGATCATCAAATGAAAATGTATGGTAAAAAATACCTCTTTAATCATGGACATGAAAAAATCTTGCGTTGCATCTATTTCCTGTGCTCGAATTAATTTGTCTGCCGGAAAATTTTTAAAATGCACTGTTACAGGCCACGGTAATGGTGGCGGACTATTCGAATCTGGTCGATATCCGGTGTGCAAATCGAACAATAGCCCAATTGGGTAATGCCTGATAGTTTTTCATTCAATTTTGTAGGAGGTTATTAATGTTAGATAGAGGTGTTCGATTGATTTTAACAGTTTAAAAGTAAGAGGGATCGAAAATTAAGAAATAAGGCGTTACATGCATTCGCAATAGTAAATCCCCACTCACCACTTTAATGGAGTCCCATCTACATCATACCATATCTCTGCGTCATCACCAATAAAATTAAGTGCCATATCAACAAAATATTTTCTTATCTGACTAGTTAATAAAGGAAAGTAAGAACAACGTGGAGCTTCTGCCTGTCACGTTTAGTTTATCAAATTCAATAAAAAGACCCAGAGGCGATTAAAAAAAAGGGTACTCTTAATTTGTAATCTGTTAATCAAATGCAAGTTACACTTGACCAATAGATGTCACCAACACCTCCTTGTCTATCACGAAACACCAAGAACTGAGACAAATTCACACAAGGCAGAAACAATACATACGAAATACGGCTCTATAATCGTTTTCGCGCCTAACGCAGCAGCTTCTGTTGCATCGAGTGAAAACTTAATTGGCAACGTGCCATCCCAGATGGCTCTAGTTATTGGATTTTGTGGTGCCGTCGTCATATTCTGTTCTTTCTGTCTTCAAACGTATTTATTCAAAGAAAATCTAGTAGACGATTGGCGAAATGAATAGTGGAAACTTCGGAAGAATAAATAATACTAAAGAATGTGAATAATTTGTGTGTTTATAGATGTTCTAATATCAGAAACTAGTTAGCTTATAGTGAGAGTAGGTGATCACTATTCTTTCGGACCCTTATGTATTACAACATTTTTTCTTCATTTAAACCTCACAAAACTTGTATATATAACAATAATAATCTAGCAATGTCCACTTTCTATAAAACTGAATTGTGCCGAAATTGGCAGCAAAAAGGAACATGCCCGTACGTATTTATAGACACATCTTTATTTCTCTCGCGTCTCTAGGGTGTCGTTAAATTCTTGATGCGTTCACTCCCCCAATGTAGAGATGCTTTTTATTTCGATTTGAAGTGAGAATGTATTAGATTTATAGATTCATAGATTTGCCTTTTTTTGCATTTTCGTTTCTGGATTAATAGATATGGAAACAAATGCCAATTTGCACACGGTGAACACGAATTACAGAAAGTCAAACCGTTTTACTACCAACCGACACCGCTACCACCACCACCACCACCCATGAATAAATTTAATGCCAGATATGAAAAGTCGGCACTTTATAAGACGGAAATCTGTCGTAATTGGCAAGAGACAGGGACGTGTCGGTAAGTTCTTCAATACAGTTGTTGCATTTTTGTATGTGTGCATTTTCTTTTCACTGTGCTTTTATATTAGATAATAATAACATAAGCACATGCATAGCAGTTTTATTCGTTCGTAATGACTATTCGTGAGTCAAAGATATGTTCACTAATTTTCCCAATTTCTTATATTAGATATGGAACTATATGCCAATTTGCGCACGGCGAAAACGAATTACAAAGGTTCAAACCATACTTTATTCATAAAATAAATAATCTACAGGTTGAGAAATCAGCCCTCTATAAGACAGAAATTTGTCGTAATTGGAAGGAGAAAGGAACATGCCGGTATTTATTTCACATACACACACACATACACATATATATTTTTATGTATCTTATTAGTATATTATCGTGGATCGGGGATCGTTTAATTATTCAAAGAATAGATTCACAAATTCTTTTAATTTCACTATTCTTAGATATGGTAATAAATGTCAGTTCGCGCACGGTGAAAATGAATTAGTTGCAACAACTCATTTAGTACAAAATCAAGTGCAGAACCTAGTTAAGCATGACAACAATATTCAAGCGAACATCCAAGCCAACATGCAGACAACCATGCAGGCGACCATGCAGCCAACTATGCAGCCAACTATGCAGCCAAACATCCAAACAAATTAATGCTTTATGATTTATCTTGTGAATCAAAACAACGACGACGACGACGACGACAACAACAACAACATCGTCATCGACAACATCATTTACTACGGGAAGAGATACATATTATTATCTACCTATATATTTTTATCTGTCATTAACACAGCAACACGACATATAATCATCGCTAAAATATCATCATTAATACTATACATCATAATACTATTTTATATAATACTTATAAATACATCACCTAATCATCAACAATGGTATTGGTTGGAAAAAAATCAGCAGTATTCAAAGAGTTTGGAACTTAGAAATCTGTATATTGTAGTTATAATCATACACATTCAATTTTATATTTAGTTATCTTTTATAATCTAATATGGGTATATTTTTCTCGTGGGCTCTTTCGCTCATATTCCAGTACCTTATTCTTATTTGCGTGTGCTCGAATCTATATTAGTTTTAAGGTCCAAAAGGCAATCATAATAATAACAATAATAATAATGATAATGATATCGATATTTATTTATCAATATTGCCAAACTTAAATCATCATAGCAATACATTTATATTTATTTTTCATTTTGAGCAAACTATGTTAATTACGATGCCTGGTGGCATCGGTGTACTACCTCCTATTTATATAGATAATACACATTGTATTTGAGACGTTCGAATTTAATACTTGTATAATTCATTTGTCCAATGTGTGAATAGACAGACCTTCTCTAACAACAAACATGTTGCATTATTTCTATATCTAGCAAAAATGAAATATGACATTATTCAGAGAAGAATCCAGTTACCTATAAAAACAGATGAAACGGACAAGACATTAATCAGACAACTTGAAAATCTTGGATAGTGATTTTTTCGATCTTGACATCCCGCCAAAAGCTTAAACCCAAAGTCCACGCAATTTAATATTTACATGTCGAAAAAAGTGAAAATCAATGATATCCTTCACCAAGATCCTTAATATTCAAATAACATACGAGTCGAACCTGCACTTTGATGGTGTTCTGATCATATTTTTATGATGCCGGTGCTTATTGGATTTAGTGTTATTGGGATATTAAAAAAAAATACGATTAACAATGAGGTCTTTTCAGAAATATCCAAATTTGGTTAAGTTTTCAATAGTCCCAAATGTGATTTTCCCCATGAATTATGTGCTATCGCGTGCCCGATATATAAATTAATTTTCCGAAAAAACCAATTCTCATCGGATTTTCTGCATGCAGATAGAATTGGTGGTCCAAACGTTCATTAAGAAAGGCCGATTTTAGGAAAAATTCATAGAATCAATAAATTTGACGTTTGGTGTAACCCAAATTTTAATTTTGGTGTCAAGAGAAAAAAAAAGTAAAATCATTTGTTTGATTGTCAAACATTTAAAGTAACATAATCAATGAGGTATCCTAAAAAAATCAGTTCTGTAGATCATTGTCATATTATTAGTTTAATTCGCTTTTTCCGAGAAACAGTGCGAATTAAACATGCCACTAAAAGAATCTAAACGAGTGCAAGCCAAAAGCAAAGCTCAAACGCGAGAAGGGCTCTGTCCAGATTCTATTGACGACGATATGACGCGAATACCTGTGGCCAAAAAGTCGAAAACACGCGACAGCTATCATGGTTATGCTCAGTTAAGGAAGAGAAACACGAAGGATAAACAAGTTCAGGTGGTGGAAGCAGGTTAGTAAAAAATGAGGGATACACCGTTGAAATGATACTCAAGGTTCGTCGAGGTTGAGAAATACTTTCTTTTTCTTAACTATTCTTATCCTTTTAAATACCTTCCATAGGAGACAGTAACGAGGAGGAGGATATCTCGGGTGAAAATAAAAGAGGGTCGAAAAAGAGAAAGAAGAGTGGTAATAAGAAGAAGGGTGATAGTTCAACGTGTCATCAATGTCGAACGAAAACTAAGAAGGAGAAGGTGAAGTGTACGAATGTGAAGGAGAATGGTGACAGATGTCAGCTGATGTATGATGCGAGGTGCCTAAGCAGACGATACGCGGAGAACTATGAAGAAGCATCGTCGAATAAGGAGTGGAAATGCCCAAAATGTCGTGGAAAGTGTAACTGTTCAGTATGTAGGAGGCGGCAAGGTCTACTACCAATCGGAGTGTTCGATTTTAGTCGAGGTATTAGTGAAATTTCATGTTAATGGTTGTGATTATGAGGAGACCCACGCGTCTTCAATAACAGAAATTGAACAATTCAGAGATGGGGGGGGAACCGAGAGTAACCAATATGACAATTATTAATCAATCAAAATCCTCAATTAAACGTTAGACTCCCATCAAGTCGAAACCTTATTGATGAATGATTCTATTTATAATAATCTAATGTTGACGATCGTAATTGAGGATAACAACATCGATTCAATGCTATCACACCAAGAGAAGATCACTAATGACCTGGAGACATCCGATTCGATCGATACCTTTGACATCACAAGTCAATTCCTCTATCCGATTGTCTACGTAAACAATAATATCGATTCCTATATTGATCTGGGCGCGACTACTAATAATTATGATACTTCTTTTGGTCCCGATTTTTATCAATCCATCAACCCGTTTGAGAATAGCAATCACGCCTCCGGTTTAACATTTCCATTCGGAAATACCCTCACCGACTATTATCCGATGTCGAATTCCCACTATTACAAGCCAATCGACGATCCATATGTTGCTATTGATCATAATCCAACGAGAGTAATCGCGGAAAATACATTCCCATATAATCCAATTTTCGATAGCGAATACTCTTACACAAACAATATTCAGATCGATAAACACATTGAAGACAATTTCATTCCACTCATCACTTTCAATAATAATACCAGGTTCATTTACCCGATCTTTAAAAGTGAGATCACTATGATTGAAGATCCCGTCCAGCTCGTTAAGTTAGATGACATATGCAAAAATCCGTTCCGGGAAGAAACTGGAACCGAAGGTGAAGGCAAAGTTAAAAGCAAGCGTGAAGAAGACGATGGTATTGACTGGAGCAAGTTCCCGGACGGAGTTTGCGTCTACATTCCTGCTCGGTCATAATATCATCAATTTCAGTTTTATGTATTCAAAAAAAAAAAGGTGCGTCTAATTATAAAGGTCATTTAACGATAGTTTCCAAAGTTTACTATTTTTATTTACCAGATGAGTTTTATTGTTATGAAGATAAAATTTTTATATCGAATAAAAATGTCATTTGTCAAACCATACAAGATTCAATATTCTCAATAGCGACCTAAATTTGATACAATTGGGTCAACGTTTTTTCTTCATGAGAAATAACTTGATTTAAAGAAGGTGGAAAACCTCGATAACGATAGTTTGCGGTTTTTATGAAATACAAAAAAACCTGGCCTGGATAAAAGAAAAAAAATCTCGTGTTCACTTTATCGAAATGCCGATCTTTTACATCGCATAAAAATAATGGAAACGTCATTAACCTCAACCGCAAACCCACCAACGTCCGCGACTCTCACAATACGTATAATAAAAAACTTTGAGTATCGTACTGTGAAAAATCTCGTGTTACAAAATGTGAACTTGGAATCTACTACGGTGGGCCAATTGAAACAAATTATCAAAGATAGTACTTATTTTTCTTTTGTCTTGGGGTACTATTATTCATCGTGGTGTTTTAGAGATATTTGGTTGACCTGGACGATAAATAGTTTAACGGCATTTCTTTAATTATGAACTTCTTCAAAGCGATAAATTCAACACCCGGTTTCAAGCCTTTTCGATCTGTGAATTATGGTAAAAAGACGAATTTCTTAAAAAAATTTCAAAAAGATACAGAAAATAACGAAAATATTTTCATATATCAAAAGACACCTTAAAAGTATACACAAAAGCACATGGCACAAAGGTAAAATCACAGAAATCTCATCTCTTCTTAGAAGAATTAATGTTATTAATCTCTCATCCTTCGATTAGTCACAAAATTTAGTAATAAATTTGGAACATGATGACGACTGGATTATGAATAACGATCAGGCTACTTTGATTTCTTATGGACTGGGTACTTGATCAATTTTTTTTGTGTCATCGTTAATTTATTTATTTATTTATTGTAACTTAATCCATTATTGTTAACATTGTAGAGAATGAAACAGAACTTTCCTTCTTTGATCTTGCTGCCTACCAAATATACAAAACTCATCCGGATGTGATTAAGTGGGATTAATTAAGAATGTATCTTTATTATTTACTTTTATTATTAATTTAAATAGGGTACAGGTTGAAAGATTACTCCTATGATCACATAAATATTTCATTTCTCATATTGGGTAATGTTAGTATCCACAAAGAACAAGAACCCAGTCTAATAATGATAAATGAAGCAACTCGTACCTTCTCATCAAAGGAACTAAAAAAAAAATCATAATTTTCTTTCACTTTTCATTCCATTGATGATGACAATCAGGATTACAGCATCGATAATAAATAGTCATGGGCTCATCAGCAGAACGCGTTTGTATTTGCATATAATAGGCACGTTTATGTTCACATTTGGGACATGTTGCTAATATGTGATTTTTAAGCTTATTGGGTGTATATGATTTCAATGAAGTAATAATTGAAAGAAATATAATGAGCTTACCTTCAGTTGAATCGACATTCTTCCATGCATCCTCACCACCAAGCACATCATCCAGTTCTTTACGCTTGAAGCGTGTCTCTTTTTTATACTGATTTTTTCAAATATTCATAAATCATAGATGAATTATATTCACAGAAGTAGTGAATTCCCCTACACCCAAGAGCAGAAAAAGAGCGTAATAAAAAGACCGACTTACCGGTTTCATAATATTATACTGAAAAGGACAAGTTTGACAAAAGAATTGTCTTCTTGACCCTCCAGTCTGAATTAGCAATAAATTACCACAAGTTGGGCAAAATAACATCTTTTGATTTGTCTCCGAGTTTGCATGCAATTAAAATGAATGGACATAAATTCAGGCATTAACATCGAAATGCCGGCCAGAGCTATGGATATAAATTGAAAATCAGAAATCTTTTTTCCAAAAAGTGAAATAAATATGCCTCGCAGTCAATCACCACGTCGTTCTTCAGTTGGCCGGGAAAGAAGTGACAGAGAAAAGTATGAAAGGAGGAGATCTAGGACACGGACACCACCTCACATAAGGGAACGAGAAAGGGAACGTGAACGGTATAGAGATCGTGATCGTAGAGAAAGACGTCGATCTCCTGAGAAAAGTTCTCGTTCTTTAAGATCTAGATCTCGCTCGCCTGGTAGACGAGGTAAGAAAGGTGACCTGGGAAATGATGTAACTAACTGTTTCATTTTATTATAAAGATTATTAACCCAGTTTGCTTGCAATGTATGGTTATGTTCTTTATGTTTTTCTCATATGTAACTAGTAAGTACATTGTGAGCAAACTGATAAAAAAAATTATAAATTATTTTTTGCCGCTGCTCTCTTGGTTTGTCGAGATTATAATCCCGGTGACTCGAGAGAGCAATGATATAATTTTTTTATTTATCCGGTTTTGCCCAAATGTATAATTTTACGCAAAATATAGCATAGCAAGGTATGAATGATTATAAAGTATTAATGTTCATTTAATTATACTTTACTGCATTTTTTATTTCACGTTTCTCGTCCTTGCCTCACTTTAATGTCTAGATCCTCGGAGTGGTGAACATGATAGACGTGGTAAGAACTTGTTGTTTCTCGATTACTTTTTTTTAGATTTGCGCATTTTGCTCATTTTATATTCACTGTCTCATAGATCCAAAATATGATCGAGAACGAGAGAGAAGAAAATCCAAAGCAGATTCACCAAGGTGAAATTATTTCTTATTTTTTGCAGTTGTCTAACTTTATCCGAATCTCTATCAATTACATCCTAATAAAAATTTATTAATATTTAGAAAAGAAGAAGTCACAACACCGTCTGAAGGTACTTAACAAATAAATTTCTTTATTTTCATACAATTGACACATTAAATATCTACAACCTTTGTCTATACGTGAATAGGATCTTCAAATAATCTCTTAGGTGATATTGACCCAGACGAAAATCCCGAGCAGGCCATGATGGCTTTAATGGGTATATCAGGATTCTCGTCGACAAAAGTAAAAATTTTATGTTCTTTTATTCATGTTATTATTTCCATTATGATTTAAAACATCTAACATGGAAGGGGGGTGGTTTGAAAAATGAATAGGGTAAAAAAGTGTCAGGCAACGAAGTGTCCGCAGTAAATATTAAGAAACAGAGGCAATATCGGCAATACATGAATCGTCGTGGCGGCTTCAATCGGTAATTTTATATATTTATTTATCGTCTGAAGTTCATCATTAATCGATTTATTATTAATGTTTTTATATATTTAGACCGTTGGATAGAGTTCAGTAATAATAATATGATGATGCTGATGATGTAAACAAAGGATGAAACCTCTTTTTTGAGACGCAATATTATATTCAAAATCAAAAAAATCTAATATATCGACCCACTAATTAATTGCATACAACGTGACAAATAAATATATTTTTTTTCAATTTTATTACTTGATCTAGCAAATTATTGCGCAAAAGTTCTTTTATTAATCAGTAATTACATGTAATTTTAACATCCATCTCAGATTTTCACCGTTTTCATTATACTGTTTCGGATTACCATCGTCCTTGGTTTTTCGAGAATATTTACCATCGATATCGCCAAAATCGTTTGTGGATTCAATATCTCCGTTTCTGCCATCCATTTTAGTTTTACCAGCATCGTTTCCTTCTAGTTTTGTTAATAACGAGCATTACGGCTGCCCATCCAGCTGCTTTTGTATACTCTTATACATATTTAATACTGTAGAAAAGAAACAAAAAATATTAATGAGATACAAACTTTACAATCTATATGTATAGTATTTGATCGAGTTTTTGTCGCAATCAGCGCGAATAGAAAATGTTATCATGTCTCTTGCAATGTAGAGTCAACCTTAGATGTTCTGTTTTTTTTTGTTTGGTTCATCATTTTGCGACAAAATTTTCAAAGCGTAAAAAATACAAGATGATTCAACATATTATATAACTATGATATGTCCCATGCTTACTTTCATGACAAAGATATACATATTTGACTTCTAGCAGTCTAAACTCATTCACCTCTCTATATTTAGCAAGCAACTTCTTTATTCCAGCGATGACCTCAAGAAATTTAAGATAAACATTATTTCTATCATTTATTTTTTTTCAAGTTAACATTTCCTTGAAAATTCAAAACGCGCAAAGCTGGTCGAATTTATCACGCCATGGCGAAAAAAAATTGATTGGTTTACCCATTTAAAAAATCACAATTAAATCGTTATTTGTTTGATCTTTTGATTTGATTGGTTCGCTAGATTCTTACCATTTCACAATTAAATCACGTGAAAAGTTAAGCTGCCCAATCATTTATAAGAATCAGTCTTACCCGAAGATCGTTGACCAATAAATAATACTGAACCAAACTCCAACTTGGATTTTTGCATGTTGAAAGTTTTAATTTCTAGAATTGTAACAACTAATGGGCGGGAATTATCTGCCATGATTTTTATTATTTTCGTAATAACCTTGTCATTACAAAAATTATTTCACTCTAATTATCATTCGACGGGATTTGTATTTGTCTTTTCGAGAGAGATATATCCAAGGAAGACGAGTAAATGATTCAATTAATTATTAAAAGTATAAAATTAACAATAATAATAATAGAATGAAAAACCAATTAGAAAATTCTCATTAAAACAAATATGCAATATATAATGTAATAACTGAGAATATAAATAACGAATTATCTATCAACAACAATGTTCTTTCAAAGTTCAATTTTGTCTAATGGTAATCAGAATTTCGATTTTCGTTCTTGATCATTTTCAATTGTCTCCCCTTTTTCGTACACGGTATCATACAATTTACTTAGGTGTTCTTGATCGGATGGTTTTGAGTGTTCAGTCTTTTTCGTCTTTTCCAGTTTCCCCGAATCATCCAAAATCAATTCTTCAATTATACGATAAAAATCACTATTATCGAAAGAGGTAAAAGACAACGATGATTTTTCCTTATTCGTACTCTTATCTTCGGAATTAGATGATGCTTCTTTATTGCTTAATTGTTTTAATTCTTGCAAATTTTCCAATGCTACAATATTACCATTTTCATCTGAAAATTTCACTCTGAACTTAGTCTCGCCCATCTTATCATCACTAGTTATCTCTGACGACTTCACTTCCCTGTCATCGTCATCCTCGAAAAGAAGTTCGATATCTTTTAGTTCCTGACCCGCTTTATTTCCCAAAACACGAATAATCGCGCGCCATTTATCAACAGCTTTTTTGATTGTGTTGGTGATTTCTTCATCTGTCAATTCTGCTCCTTTTTCTGCATCCGAATCACCCTTTGGTAATTTCTTCTCGGTTTCAGAATCCTCGGATAATTTCTCGTGCTTTTGGTTATCGAATATCGAAGGTTCAGCGCTAGCGGAATCTTCTTTTAGATCTTGCTTGGAATTCTCTACTTCATTATTTTTCTCTGCATTACCATCATCATTATTACCCTCAATTTTATCATTATTGCTTTCGCCTTGATCTTTTTCGCTGCCATCTCCTACGTGTTTACGTTGCTCTGATGCCGCGATTTCATAAAATGCGTCAGAGACCACCGGATTACATTCAATAGGATTGATTTTCGAGGATGATTTACTTTGAAAAGCCGGATCACGACATAATCGTGGGGTATGTATTACAACAAGGTAATGACACGTATTAGTCTCTTTAATTAATGCTATATGATCTTCACGTGTTTGATGACTACAATGGAACTAAAGAAAAAATGATTTAAGTCTAAACCATTAGCAATCCATAATTTACTAAATTATAATCTAAAATATAATGATGAGTTACCTGGATTTCGACTCTCCTTGGTTTTCCCGTTAAATCACAAGTGGTCCCGTCACTCCATCGTAAGACTAAATATTTTTTCTGGCCGCTTGCTTGAACTTCTGTTGCTACTTGTTCCTGGGTGTATTGTCCTTGCTTGCCGACTTTCTCGGAAGGCGGTAATGTCGCTTGCTTGGGATCGTACCTGCCCAAGTAATATGATGCGGCATTGGGATCCTCTATGTACATTTGGCCGCCCGCTTCAAGAATTTGATGATATTGTCGGATATGACTAATAGACCGACACCGGAACTAATGAGAATTAATCATCTTTTATCTCTAAAACAAAGTCTCATGTAGATTTTTCTTACTTGAGATGGCAATATTCATATGTCCACCATCCAATGCGCTATTTGATTGATCAAACATTTGAAATCAGCAAATAAACACTGGAATCCCGTCAAAACTGTTGATATTTACACTTACAAGATATATACATTTATTCTTCATAGGCTCCAAGAGTTCCATTCCTTTTCTCAAAATGTCTACATCGTCATTTTTGTTAATCTCCGTCTTAATTCCCTCCATTAATGTGTCATTCATGGTTGGAGGTATCTGGCATAAGTATCGCTGCCCCGAGGAGGTACGCATAACAACAAAAGTTGGTTTCATGTCTTCTTTATCATCCAATGGCATTTTATACTTGGCAACACTGGGAACTACGCTGGACGTCTCCTGATAAAGATGTATTTGTGTGTGTTCATGTGAGTGTAGCGCGCACTTTATCTGGAATTATATGGAAAATTAACAACATCTCTGAATTTAAGTTTCCCTCACCTTTTCCTCTTCATTTTTTGAAAGTAAAGCCTCGAGACTGCTATTTGACACAAAGTGTGTGCTACTTAAAAGCACTTTATATCGGGGATGCGCTTGTAAGTCTTCATATACCCATGAAATTGAAAAAGCGTCTACGTATATATTCGAAACCGAGAACAATAATTTGAAAAGAGAAAAAATCAAAAGGTAACAAAAGAGTAAATTTGAGTAAGCAAAGTCGCCATTACGAAAATTCAACATGGCAGAACAATTTTATGTATAACGTTAATGTCACGTTTATTTTTACTATTAAAAATTATTTTACAAAGGAACTTTATTGTAACCAAAAAAGGGAATAAAATCGATATGAAATCGGCATTTTCTAGAATTTTGTTATTTGCTTATTTTTCTTGCGGGATGCGGATTAAAAAATGGATCCTTGGCTAAGCTCATCTTCTTACATAAATTTTGATTTTAATTATTCGAGAAATGAATATTAAAGCAAAAATGACTTAAATACAAAGATTGATTTCAGAATCTACTTTAACAACTTTAAAGACAAAATGAACCTTTGATTTTTTAACTTACCAATATCACGTGCTTGCAAATTTGATTTGTTGACGTGGCATATCTTTATTCA